CATCTTTGATTTTCTGGAGGCATTGTAGTGGGGAGTTGATAGAATATTCGCTCTTCTCTGTGAGATGTCCAAGCTTTTTTGTCAGTTCTTTCGCTATGTTGTATGTTGGAGTCCCTGGTAAAGATACAATTGATTGAAGAGGTATGTCAGGCGTGTGTATTTTTGGTCGTCCATAGAAACGTGGGAGGATGGGTCCACTGCTTTTCATCTGTCACTGTTCTTCTTTTGTGATCTGGCCTTTCTTGATTAGGTTGTCTAGTTTCTGTATTGGGTTGGTGTTAACTGGGATGTAGGTTTCTTTGTCCTCTAATAATTTTTTGGCTTTTTGCAAAAAAATAGATAAGTTCATTTGGCCATAGATAAGTCTATGGCCAAATGAAGCCTCCTTGATCAGAGGAGAAGATCCTTTTAGGTGAGTAAATATTGACTTATTATTGAAGTTCATTTGCCACTACTATTTTTTTTATTTATGATACATACTCTTCTTAGAAGATCATGGGACCATCCAGCATTGGGGTAAAAAAAATATGGTCAACCTAAAATTGAATGTTCATTCTGGTCATGTCAGACTGCACTACTTTTTTCTCAAAGGATGACCCAACAAGTCACAGGGTTGTCTAACATTACTTTAAATAGATTTCCATGATAGTTTTATAGTAGGTCAGAGTCCGCTTAGCTGGCGTATTAAACTTTTCATCCTTCTGCCTAGGAGCTCTCTCACACAAAGATGTAGATACATCAGTAGTATGAGATCACCCCACCAGCTCTATTACCAGTTGTATGTGACTGTGTCAGATCCTCCCTTTTTTTTGCTCCGGTTCTGCAATGTTGTATTTTTCAGTATGCAGGAATACAAAGCCTTACCTAGTTAATTTCTCAACTAAGAAAAGTGTGTGCTGACATGTGTGACAAGGGGATGTGATGGTTCACCCCTAGGGTGGCCAGATGCAAAAAAAAAAAAAAAAAAGGCCTTAATTGATGCACCTTTACAAGTTGTGTAGCAGTAGCATTTCAACAGGTGGGCTTAACTGGCAAACTGTTCTGTGCTCTCCTTCCTTGTACACAACTGTTAAAGGTGCAGAAGCCCAATCATCTTTTGCGCCAGGCTACCTTGCTCAAAGATTGGATTAAGGAAGCATGAACTAATTGTGAGTGTGCTCGCATTTCATTCAAAATCTTGTTGGAATGGTTCTGCAATCGCTCTGAAGCACCAAGGCTGATGTCCAAATTCTCAAGGCTTTGCTTGAGAAATGGGTGGACCCGGGAACTGGATGCCCTTTCAGGATTATTCCAGGCCCCTTTGTGGAATATTCCTTATCATTAACAAAAGAACAACTCTCATGATCCATCGTTCCTGAAGACCTAACAAACTGGTGGGCAATATTCTATCCAATCCCACAGTGAGTGAAAACTTGACTCCAAATTTCAACCTCTTCAGACAGTATTTTGTTAATGCTTTATTTTTCTGGAAGGTATTTCTTGAATAAGTTTCAACAACCAAAATCTCCTCTCTGTGTGTGTGTGTGTGCATGTGTGCTATTTTTACATTGAGTTTTTCCTTTATCCTATTTCTTCCAGGTCTGCGTGCATAGCATTGTAGATTAGCCTTCTCTCTTCAGCTTGCATAATATGCTACTTTTGTCATACATTTATTCTGGTTATGCTGGGCAGTTTGATAAGAGGACATATTGAAATCCTGTGATAAACATAGACACTCCTACTTGTAATGCCATAAAACAATATTAGAGATAGGAAATTTTGTTGTGACTTAATAGCAATTTAGCATTCATTTAGCCACTACACCCAGAGGACCAACTTTTTTTATTGTACTTGGGAGGCATAATAAAGCCATAAAACATTGCATAAGAGTAAATCCACGTTGCACACAATTCTCTGTTGCCTTTTCATGGTGATAAATCTTTGCAATGAACATGATTCCTGCTGTCCAAGGGCAACCATTCTCAACAACCTCATGTGATCTTACGAACAACCAGGCCCTGGGCAGGTAGAGCAGTTTTATCTTCAAGATAGTTAATCCTTCCTTTCTGTTGCATTTGCAGATCTTCTTGCCTCAGCAGGATGCTCTGGCTTTCATGGGTGCTTCTGTCTATATTTCTGACAGTAGGTAAGATTTTCGGTGGAGAAATCCCTCCCCCACTTCCATGCCAGTTCATGCTTACTGAGACATTACTGAAGCTTGGCACTGCATGGAAGAGCATCCCCAAATGAGGACTACAGTCAGGACTACAATCCTGTATATTGCAATCAGTATGATTTACTTTTAAGTAAACATACAATAAATCTGGAAGAGCACCTTGGTATTCTACCTCCCTTGAAGGAAGTGAAGGAAGGTTGATGGAGGTATACATTTTCCAAGGTCTTACTTGCTAGGACTGGGCCATGACTGCTCTGGACACCCTGTTAAGGGTATCACTAAGTTCACTAGACTTAAGTCTATTGAGTGTTGGGAAATATCAAGAACTATGGCAGGAGATACTGTGAAGAAATACAGATGAAGGAAGAATTAGAAGATGGGGTGGTGTGTATATGGGAGGGGATTACCTTTCTCTCATGGAGAAATAATCATAACTTCAGCTGACTGTCTTTCCTGCAGCATCTGGGAACACAGCTCCACAGTTCAAGATGAACAGCAGCTTTATGTTGCCAGAGGACACACTTATAGGTTAGTGATGGAGAAAATTCTGTCTTGGAATGCAAAAAATTAAAGCCAATATTTCCATATTTGTCAATGGTATTTTGCATAGCCTTCCTAGGTTAATGACTTCCAGATGAGACAGGCAGTAGCTCCCATCATTTCAGCCAGTGGTTGTGATGACAAAAGAGCTACAATCCTGTGCATATGGAGGATGTGGTAAGAGGATTAAGGAATTCAGAAGCCTTTCAGGGTTCTTTCAGAAGGTGCAGTTTTAGGGAGATGATATATTGGGGGGGAAAAGTCAGTTGCCATAAGGATTTTTTAAACCCAGGTATCTCTGTTTGGATATTTCCTCCCATCTTTTCTGCCCTCATTTATCTGGCCCTCATTTATCACTGCAGGCACCTTGGTTTTTCAGCTGGTGGCAGTGGATGCTGAAAACGATCCATTATACTATAGCATTAAGGGCGAAAATGCTTATTACTTCTCGGTTGATGATAGAACAGGCAACGTGACCCTGAAGCAATCTGTGGATTACGAGGTAAAGATATGAAGGGACATAACCATGGCTGGGCAGAGGGGGAAGTGAAAATCTGGCCACCTACTTTTGAACATGCAGGTAGTCCTTGGTCAGCAACCACAATTGGGACTGGCAACTTGGTTGTTAAGTCGTTGCTAAGTGAAACCATGACTGAGCTTATGATATTACTTCATCTTTCCTTTGCTTTACAGACCTGCAAAGGTCATTAAGTGCAAGGATTGGTCATAAAGTTACTTTTCATCACTGTCATAACTGCGAATGGTTCCTAAACAAGACAGTTGCTAGACAAGGACTACCTTATTGCAAATGTGCCTTTGTCAAGCTTTTCCTCTGAATCCGTGTAAATCAGATATGCAGCATTGTGTTAAAGGTCTTGCAGCTTTTTCTAACATTGGTATGCTATTTTTTTTTATGTTGTTGTTGTTCCTTAATTGTCCCCTGTAATATGCTGCAAGGGTAGGAAAGACATGGCTGTTCTCATGAAATACACAGATGCATGCACACACATGTGTACACACTGAATCTACTGTGGCTGACATTTTAATAAACATGTATACTCACGGTATAAAAGATAAAGCCAAGTTTGTGTAATTAAGGTAAAATTGAACTTGGTAATTGGATAAAGGAGGGTGAATGGATGGAAACTGGCTTGTGAAAAAATCCATGCATTAAAAAAAAAAAAGCAATTGCTTCATTCCTCATATTCAGCAGCCATTCTTCAGGAGATATCATTGATAGGATCTCTTTAGCTATCCGCTCAGAGCAAAGAAGGGACTTTGCTTATATCTGCTGTGCCTGCAGAAGAATGGACAGAGTCAGCTTCAAAAAAGGAGACCAAGGGAGAAACGAAGGTGGCAGAGGAGCACTGAGATTGGGACAAGAGCATATGGGGAAATAGGCTTATGTTCAGCATGTTTAGATTGGTATTTCCTATGCCAAAATGTGGCTATATGTGAGTCCTTTTTCGTATGCTCAGTCCTGCTAAAAGAAAACAGTACTGTGTTTATGCATTGTGGCCAGATGATTGTGCTTGAAATGGAAAAGTCAGGCAATTACAAGAAACTAATCATGATTCTGTTCAGGTTGGTCTTCCTGGGAGACAGGACCTTAGAGGAATCTTGAGGATGTCCCTCCCTTTTCCTTTTCTTGGCTGGTAGCTGGGCTCACATCTACATTAAAACTGTTGAAATCTGAACTAGAGCCAAGGTGCTATTGAAATAATGTTCATGATATATATGGTTACATCTGAAAATAGCATTTTTTACAGTGTTTCATCTTGGGAAGAAACTGCTTCTTCAGTCAGCTGAGTGCCCAGTCAAACAACTTGTCTTGTTTCTCAGCCACTCCTAATTAAAATGCCTTAATAATTTATGTGGGAACGGAATATTGTTGAACTCAGTACCAGTTTTAAGGTGCAGTTAAATAACCGCATTGTTTTTATTTTTTATTTTTCCTTATGTCTTTTTAAAATCCTCTATTTTACATTCTCTGAATTAGTATTTTCCACTCTTTCCAACACTTATGTTCTTATGTAATTGATTTTATTTCAGGTAGAATCTTTACTGAAGCTTTTTGGCTCCCGGGACACTGCTATGCCTGTATTTTTTTCCACACAAAGCTATTGCTCTGTGGTCAGACGTTAGTTAATGCACTGCAATATCCATTGTATTTAAAATGCATTGCAGTGCCACACACTGATGCATAGTGTTGTAACAAGAAGAATTTGAAAAGTCACATCTGCTTTAAGTAAAGTTGAGCTCAGCTCCTCATATCAGACTACTTAGATATGTACATGGAGAGGGTTTTTGGCAAAAACTTGAAAATAGTTCACCATTGCTTTCTTCTGGACTTCGGACATGTTTTAAAAACGTCTTATTCTATTCTATAGTTTTTCTTTCCTGATGGTGTTCCATCAAAGTATAGGTTCAAATCTACTTAGTTTTTTCAAGATTTGCCAAGATTCTGATCTCTGCAGGAATACCAATATAAATCTTTCTTTTTAAAAAATATAGTTGTTCCTCACTCAGGTGCACATTTAAATAAGGATAAATAATTCCCATCATTTTTTTTTTTTTTTACAACAAACACAAAACATACATGGACAAACAAAACCATAAAAAGGCAT